CTCACATACACAAATCTTTGTTCGCTGTTGTTCTTCTTTTTATCATACTCAGTATACATCCTGTCACTATAAACTTATTGTTATTGTGTGGTGCATATCTATTTGGTACCAACGTTTGTGTGTTCAAATAAATAAATAAATAAATAACAGTCAGTCAGTCAATTATAATCAGTGTACAGCATGACGTAAATGTGAGTTAGCACAAGTTACCATAGAACACCAACACAGAGATGAATTTAACAAAATAAATGCCAAAATACTCGAAATAATGTAACTATTAATCATATGTATAAAAATGATGCATTGAAGAAACTATTCTAAACAACAGAATGTGAAGGTATGGATGGAGGGAAACTAAAACTCCAGAGTTGGAGTACGATGATAAGGAAATGTATCTGTGGCAGTGTGATCGGTTTAGTTATCTCAACGAAAATACTGTTCGAAGTCATTCTGTGAAACCCAATCAGGTAGCCTTCACCTATCAACACGGTTCAGATCAACAGTAAATGAATTCAGAAACTGATTTAACGTTTCAGTTAAGCCAACCCCAACATTCTTTAAAACCTACTCCTAGACCCATGTCAACACCGCCCGTCCAGGTAGGTATTTATAACACGAATTTAATAAGCTTTCTAATGAAGATTTCCATACTGTTTTAGTCACGCTGTGGTGTGTTCTACTGATGTTGATAGATATAAGAAGTATGTATCATCAATCGAAAATGAAATACCTGGTAGCAGAAGGTTTAGAAGATAGAACAGAGAACGAGAACAGTGAATGATTGCTGTGGAAATGAAAGAACAGTGAAGTTTGTGACAAATGGTTGACATTTTGCAAATTAAGTATATACTGTAGGGTTCTCAATTTACTAAGATGCTCTGTAATTTTGTATTCAGATACATCTGATTGTCCCCAATCGTGTTCTTGTTTACTAAAACACGTTTAAAATATCCAACTACCTAAACAAAACGACATGGGTCATATTTGGACTTACCTTCCGGTGGTAACTGAAATTCAAATACTTTAATAAATAAGGTGTGATTTGACCATGATACAAATACAATCATTACAACACAGTCATCACATCAATAAACTTAGATCATTAAAAGAAATGCATGATATATACTCAAGTGATTCAACTAGATAATGATAATCCGGTTTAATCGATAATATTACGGAAAAGTAAACTGCAGAAAAACAGTACCAAGAGAAAACGAATTAATTAGAAACGTTTCCAATGTGGGTTTAATTTTCAGCAAAAAGATTTTATTTCATACAGCAGGATTTACCCGCAGTTATCTGTTATAAACATATCAGTGTATGTAACATTGAAGGGTTTGAAAATGGCAGTCCCAATGAAGATGATACTCTTGTGTATGCAGTACAGAAGGCGACTCAAATGAGTTGAAATAAGAGATGAAGTTGCTAAATATAACGGACCTACTTACAGAACATTGGAAACGTTGTAGCGAAAGTCGTTGAAAACATTCATTTAAGAAGGCGATTCAGAGATTTCACTTAAGCTGTACAATCGTATTTGTAATTAATTTGTACAGCTTAAATAAATGAAATCGTCGAAAAAAATTTTTTTTGTTGATATGCTTTTTTTTAAATGAGTGCTTTTCACAACAATTTGTGGCCCTTGATTTGACTGCAATTTGGATGAAAGTATGAGTATGCTATGAACATAATTCTGCCGTTTAACTAAGTATATTATCTAGGCTAACCCCGTTTGTATGACGGCGGTAATAAGAAGCCATATATGGATTACGTTGGATGAATTTATTTCAAACACTCGTTTATCCGGGGATGAGGAGACGAGTGGGCCAACTCATCTTTGGCAAAGCGTAACTCAATATTTATAGCCGGGCAGAACTAGGTCAAAGACATGCCATGAATAGGATAAGCGTTGAACACACACGCTCATATAAAAACAGTAAGCTTAATGAGCGAATAATTAACAAGGTCAAAACGTGACTCAAGAAAAATGAATAAATTGGTCTGCCCAGAAGCTTGACATAGTACTAAACTGTTTTGCCACAACGTCCTTAATGTTTAGTAAATAGGTCTGTTATATTTAGCAATTCCAGCCATTTTTCCAACTCATTGAGTCGCCTTCTGTGCTGCATACACAAGAGTATCATCTTCATTGGGACTTCCATTTTTAAGACATTCGATGTTACATACACTGATATGTTCATAGCATATGTTCCTCGCTGAATCGCCTTCTTCAATGATCTCCATTTAATCTAGATTAATGTATGGATACTGCTGACGAGTGCCATACTGGGACGAAACAGCCAACCAGTGTTTACAGGTTATCAAGGGTGATCCAACAACGATCGATTCATGATCTCAATCAAAAATATACAATTACTTATAACTTTAAATTAGCCTAACATTATCATCACTATTGATCCTTATCTTGTCAACAGATTTATGAGATTATGCAGAAACCGAGTTGATTTGCAAAAATATTAATTCTGTTTACTTGGAAAGCAGAAAACTACGTTTGATTTCAACTAAAGAACCTACGAAAATAAGAGAAGACAGCTTTTTATATATTAAAAGTGTTGCTATAACGACAGTTATATGAGAGACAAATGGAAAGATATGGTAGTAAATATCGTACATACAAGAATTCACCATATATATATATATATATATATATATATATATATATATAGAGAGAGAGAGAGAGAGAGAGAAAGTAGACTACAAAATAAGAGTTAGAAAAAGGTTAACTAAATAGTTAGTTAAAATCAATAAAGGGGATCAAGAACTACAAAACCTTGTATTACCAGTGTCCTCTTGATTGATTATTATTTGTAATAAGAAATTAATATGTGATGGATAGACTTAAAAAAGCATTCAAATTAGTACATCGCTTGTGCATATATACATATGGGTAAATGAATGCAATGTATTCTATGGGTTTGATGAGCGAGGTAGAAACTAGTGTAAGAATTATTATTTTATTGTCAAAAAGGACGGATTGTAGCAAGCGATCGTTTTCTGGTCGACAGTCTTGTCTGTTTTGGTCTACACAGATCTCAGTGCTGATGTTTACACTAAGATTCGCCAGTGTTATTCACTGAATTCAGATAGCCACTGACGTATTTAATGGGTAAGATGTTTACATCATTTAGTAGTAAGGGTTTGAATTATTCTGGTGTTAATATTTAGGACTGTATCTTGATCATACTAAGTCAATTCGTATACAATTCACAAATGCCAACGAAGACTGATCGAAATATATCATTGAATATTACCAAGATAGTTTAAACACTTGCTAATAATGATACAGAAGGTTTAACTGTTCACAAATAAGAATACATTATTTTAACTATAATTGAAATCAGTATGATCAGTACTGAACAGCTTATCTCCACGGACATATCTATCATTATTTTCAGTTTCTAAAAGAACTTCAATCATTTAATCAAAATTACACACATAGATGAGTCAGCAGAGAAAAGGACAGAGCATACAATAGTATAAACATAGGAATACTAGTGTTTTCTCTAACAAAGTTTCATTCGGTTAAATAAAAATAACGAAACAAAATGCAAATTCCTTGAATTACACCTTAATGTGAATGAATTTTAGTGTCATTAGTTCCCATCTAACTAACAGATAGATTGTTTTATGCCTTAAAGTTATTTCCAAAAAGTACATTCACTTGGCTCTAAATGTGTAAGCTGAAGGTTTTTGATTATAAGTGTCTTTGAAGCATTGGTCATTTATCTAGCATAGAGTGCTAGGTGAAGGTGGGAAATCGATTGATGAGGTTGTGAATCACCATCGACTGAGGTGGTTAGGGGATGAATTACATATGCTCAACCACCACTAACTTCCACGGTGGGCTTTAAGCCAGTGTAGAAGCAAATAAGACGAAAAATAGAGGCACCCAAATCAAGATGTACCATTAGTCCATAAATTTATAGACTCTTGGTTAGAACCGTGTAAGTGCAGATTACCTGTTTGTAGTTGACATGATGACAGCGACCAGTGGTCAAAGTTGCATGGCTCAGAATCGGTCTTAAGGGCATAGATGCATAAACTTCTGATCATGCTCTAGATCTTGAATTCTAGTATCCCTTTATGCATAACTTTCCACTGTCACTTCAAACCATATTCATGTTTTGTCTTTCTCAAAATCATTGCTCTTAGACTGTCTTTCGATTCGTTTGTTATTTACCTCGTCGTCCCAACGAAGTATGCCAGTTTGGGCCGAAGCGTATTCCGTACTAAACTCTATATTGATCATGAATGACTAATTATCTGCTCATTCCATGTGAATTTTCTTTATAACAACATTACTGAATGATTGTCTGTCTGACAAACTGAATACTTTAGAAATAGTGATGTCTGCTAATAGCGTACCAAACTATAAGATGAAAATTAACGTGCAGAATTTTTGTTTAGATTTTAAAATCCAGAAATGTAACAATGATCAGACAACAGCAATAGATCACACAAAATTCATCCAACAAAATCAGAATGTTGCTTGTTTAAGCTATTTTTTTGTTTTTCACTGAGTGGACGAAAATGAATAGGTAGAAAGAAAACTACAATTTGATAATGATCAAGTATTTCACAAAACGACATCAGTTTCCTTTCACAATGAGCAATCACAGTAACGTAATCGAATTCAACGTTTTAACTTGTGATTAAAACTAAAGTAATTGGTCAACGCTCTAAGAATATTTTAGTTTTCTATACAGACGAACACTATCCAATGCATAAAATAGATGAGATGTAGCTAGCAGTGCAATCCGGGACGTGTGTTCAGTTGTACTAGGGACTTGTTAGCTGGATGTACCTGCATTCCAGCTGAATTATCCGATGTAGATAAAGCCGTGGTCAGTTAAAATAGTTTAAACTATTTGTGAACTTCAACAATGTCAACACATGAAGTTCACATATTATCTTTCATCTTCATACATAAAAACTCACTTGCTTCAAGTCAAAACCAGTTAGATAATAAAAGCCAAAGATTAATTACATGGAGAATAAAGTAAATTATCTGATGAATTTGAGCTGTCCGTCTGAAAGATTTTCAAAAAGTACGGAAATAGAAGCATAAAATCAAACCAGAAAATTAACAAAAAATGATTTAATCCTGTTTCCCTCATACAACACAGTACAGCATTTCAGATATATGTACCTGATCCCATATGTCATTCCAAGGTCAAGCATTAGGTTAGAGGTGAGGAACAAAGTACGCCATTGAATGAAGTGAGTCATAAACAAATAACAGATCTTAGCTGAAGCATTTAATGAACAGATATATATATATATATATATATATATATATATATACCACTGAGTTGTGAAGACGTATATTTCTCTTATTGATTACAACTTCCTAGTTATTCCTAGTTTTCCACCATTCACATACCGGGTTGGTCTCGCGTAGAGAGAGCATCGAGTCCCTGTATCTGAATCGGATGGTTCCAGAGGGCAATACGTTGATACCTTACTCATGATAGTTGCTGAAGTAGGCAACTCAGTCGATATAAGTTGGTCGAAAAGTTAAATTCTTCAAATTTTAACAGTGATAAAATTAAAAGGCAGCGGTGGTATGGGTGGTGAGATCAATTATCTTATAGTGAAAGCCAGAGCGGCCTATGCCAATCTGGGCCATCTTTGGAGCCTTCGTGATGTTAGTATGGCTGTAAAGGGTCGGATCTACAACGCGTCGGTAAGAACAGTTTCGCTCTATACTTGTGAAACCTGGCCTCTTCGAGTTGAGGATGTTAGACGACTCTGTGTTTGGTTATTATTGTCTCCGAAGGATTGCTGACATCCAGTGGCAACACCATGTTAGTAATGCAGAGGTTCGGCATCGTGTGTTCGGGGACAGAGTTGATAATTCAATTGGTGTCACTATCTTGAAACATCGAATTCGGTAGTTCGTACATGTCTTACGAATGCCTTCCCAGCGATTTCTACATCGTGCATCATTTGTCCATGCTGGGACCGGTTGGAAAAAGCAGAGAGGTAATAAGTATATGATAGGGTGTTGTGGTATGAAGGAAAGATGTACAGGACTAGCTTCTGTAGGTCCTTTGCGACTTCCTGGTTAACATCTTAGAGATGGTACAACATTTATTTACTTGAACACATAAATATTGGTACAAGAGGGCACCAAACATATATGCGCCACACGATGGTACAACACAGTTGTGTCGATGGAAAGAAAGTGATTGCTTCTCGCAATTCCAAGTTGACAACCACTTGTTTACCGTTAGAAGAAACGTCACATATACAAACGCTGATATGTCCATAAATATAACCTGAACAATCAGCACAATTAGTCATAACTATAGTCTGAAAGCACAAAGATTTTAGAGCTGTTATTTGCACAGTGACTGAACACACATTCGAATTATTTATCTATCACTTTAAGTATACAAACAAACTTCCTACCTAATTTATGGGAAGAATGTAAAGATTAAAATCACTACTAGTTATAATTCATCAAATTCTATGATAAAAACTGTTACATACTCTATTTTTCTTTGAAATTCGAATACTGGATTCCTTCAATAATAAAGGAACATTATGTTTGTCAAAGTGTACTTCATTTTTCCCATCAAGTTCCGGATTCGAACTGGTTAAATCCAAAATTTTCAGTTTGTCCAAGTTATAACTTGAGAATAAAATATCCTACGTAAAGCGAAGATGGAATAAATAATATATGAACAATAAAGGCGTATCATGGAACGATACAAAAAAAACATTGAATTCCTACTACCACTAAATTAATGAGAATAAAAGTAGGATGATGTTAGTTATTATATTTTATTAATAATAACATGATGCTGATGGAGTATTATTTACCAAAATGTAAATGATTGTTAATAATATAAAAGCCTGAATCCTTTAGTTGTGTAGACAACATCCCCGTGTGTTTTAATACTACATAAGCATTTAAAAACAAATTAAGTCGTTTGATTTGCCACTAATCTAAGCATTCTACTTTCGATTTAACTATCAAATGTGCAGTTAGTTTTTCTTGTTTAGCACATTTTAATCACTTTTACTCAAATTGTATATAATCAGAATGAAAACATGTTTGAAATAGGAAAGCATTTCAAAAAATATTCAGAACAACAACGTGCAGAAACACGAAGTTTCATATAAAATTTATGTACGAAACTCCTTTTTGCTTCATCCACTAGTGCTGATTAGTTAAAAATAGATCAGCTAACGTATTCGGATTGTTTTGCACGATTTTATCCTTAAAACACGTACACATTTTGTTTAATTACTTCTATTCATATAAGAAAATGTATCCAGCTTTTAAGACACTCGGACCGCAATTTTATACGAATCTGGCAATTTGATAGCTTTATGGGAGAGAAAATAAAGAATCTTTCTATTAAGATTGACAATATTTTAAAACAATACATCACTTCGTTATTTTGTAATATTGAATGGTAATAACATAACATTTCAAGGACGACCATGATTACATTATTATTAATAATAAAAAACTAACTTCCTATCAAGGCGATACTGATTAATCTTGTGTTAGTCTAATCCTAAATGTTGATCAAATTCTACCGATCAAGATGTGATACGGTTACTCCAGTTGGTTCAAAATCGTATAGATCGTTTGGATGAGAAATGACAGGAAGAAAGTCCTGGACCTAAAGGAGATCAGTTGTGGTTCCGATAGCTGAATGGTAACATATCTTACTGTATCACTACTGAGAGAAGCATCTCCGAACGCGTGGATATAATCAGCATCCTCGAGAGTGTAATACGCCCTGATGGAAAGTTTCAATCAGCACGTAATTCAGGTCTCCAGTTATCTTAGAGAAACTAGTCAGGAAATTTAGTAATTTTGTGAGAGCTTTTGAATAACTTTTAATCAGGTATTGAATGATCTTGTAGACTTTATTTTTCGAGAATAACTCTCCATAGCTATTAAAGATCGAGACGCCCTGCTGAGCTGTTTAGGTTATTAGCTTGAATAACAATTTCCTCATTAGTCACAACCTATCATGAGTTACGCCAAGCTGACACATCACTATTTGACCAGTCAAAAAGATGATTCCAGAATGATGATTAAAAAATCTATAAACTAAGTGACGATGACATGAAAAAGCACAACAAACAATCAGCAATAAAATTATAAGACATGGACCTAACACTAGAGACTGAAAAAAATTAGAACTAAGATAAACGCATTACTCATGAGACAATAAAACATGATGAACTCCAAAATATAACAAAGCAATGGATATTCTGAATTATTTTAAGTAATTACTTGACCATAAATATTAACTAAAAATAGGCTTACATCACAGGATGATAGGGTTAGAGAGTGGATTTGACGAGACTATCTGATGTCATTTGTGACTGACTTATTCATTTTTGGCATGGTTAATGTCACAGATATAATTAATGTTAACTAATAAATCTACCTTCACATTAAACAAGCCTCTACAAACCCTATGTATAAATAAACTTGTAATCGTTCAGATTATTCCGTTGTTGATATTATAGCTGAAATTCGATCAGTCATGGTTGGCATATGTGCATCATGTGCAAATGGCTTCGATATTGGCAGTTATGACACGGACTTATATAAAATAGATGGAATGTAACTAGCAGTAGAATTCAGGAGGCGCATTTTTATCCCGGATTAATGATCAACTCCAGGATTCAGATACATCGAGGTAACGAGTTTTAAATAGGACGAAACGCGTGTCCTGAATTCCATTACTAACTACATTCCATCTATTCCATATAAACATGTATATAGAAATATTATTACATCACAAACTAACCTCCATAATCAACTTTTTCCCCTTTAATAAAGACTTACAACCAGCCAAAGATTTCACATCAGCTAACTGACTTTTTAATAGTTCCACTTCATTATATTCATTATCTCCATCAATAGACCTTGGGAGGTCTAGTAAATATAATAAGCACGTAAAATAAATAAAGCTAGACATATACGGAGAAAAGACTTAAGTATATAGTCTAGCAGACAATAAACAATATAATTAATTAATGAATAACTGTATTATAAGAATCAAAGGAATAACGAAAGACTGATGTTTACCAAGTAACTGAGGGTGTAAATGCGTGGGCCACGTTTATTGTATGGAAGCGAATTATCCTAGTCATAAAACGGGCAAAAAGTCTTGATAAGTGAGGTCAAACAATAACACTGTAATCTGACAACTGAATGATTAAATATTAGGATCACAAATGCATTTGTATTATTATATAGATGTCGAGTAGGGATACTTAATTTGAAAGGAATGCTCGATCAGATAAAATTACGTTTCAAGTACTGACATATGCCAAAATTATATATATCGCATCACAGATTAATATTAATTAGACAAACATTGAAAAACACAAATCCCTGGATAGTTTGTTTCCTTCTAGTGTGAAACTTCCTCGGTGACTTCAGTAACACAAAATCGAAGTATTCACACAGACCTGAATATCCTGGGTCTGATACCTGGTGGGGTCATGGATGCGCACTCCCGAGGAGTCCCATACTAGGATTAAACGGTCGTTCAGTGCTTCCAGGTTTTCCATGGTGGTCTAGTTTTAATTGAATCATGAATTCAAATATTAAATTACTAAAATCTCCACAAAACCCGCTTCTGGTGATGTTAGTTCATGATATACACTACAAAATTCTGCAGTCTTCACAAGTCTTCTATTATAATATAGAGATATTATTGATGTGATGACATTTGGCGGGCTGCTGAAAAAAAGTGAAATACATTTCATTAAAAATATTAGGAAAACATGATAAACGAACCTAATACAAAAGTTTGTGAATTTACAACATTTTCTGTTACATTTCTCTCTGTTGTTACTCCTGTTTTTGTCGCATAGTGTTTGGCTAAACATTTTAATTTACACCAAAGACATCGAGATACATAACGCACGCGTCTGGTAAGATCATCACGAATTACTGCATACGGTAATTCAATTAAAAGATTATTAACAAGAGCTGATTTTCTACGACCATTTTCTTTAGACATGCCAATAGTTGAATAATCTTCGTCGGATGATTCTCGTCTAAAATACTCATCGCCGTCGTCTTCTTCGTCATCAAGTGAAAAGAATTCATCATCGAATTCATTGGAGTGAAGCACATTATCATTATTTTGTACCCATGTAGTACAATGTCGTTGGAGAAAATCAGTGAATCGAATCATTCTTAAAGAGAGTTGACTGACAAGATCTCGAAGTTCACGATTCTCATAAAGTAAGTCATTTTGGCGACTTTCCAGTTGTTGAACTATTAATGATGATAAATCAGCCTATAAGTAAAAGTATTGAATACTTAAACAGAGCTGGATAATTCAACCATAGGTTAGAAAAAATGTTATAAAAATTATTACTAATTTTTATAGTTGAGATCATGAGTCAATTAAAGCTAGACCAGTATGGAAAAACCTGGAAGCACTGGACGGCCGTTTCGTCCTATTGCGAGACTCCTCGGTAGTATTAACATTAAGGTGAGTTGCATAACAGTTGAGTTAATTTCCCAACATTAAGATATATATCTCGATACCACGTGCCCCCAAATGCCCTGGTATGGCCGAGAGTGGGGAGAGTCCGCTCTCCCTCTCGAAATGCTCTCACACGGCCACGCGTATATAGCCACTGCCAGGGAAGTCCTACTCACTGCCTTCTCGTGGCGGGGGTGTTGTTGACGAAAATGAGAGGACGAAAAGCGAATGTCCGGCGCTTTAACCGGATTCAAAACCAATGGTGCACAGGGGCTCCAGTATCCTGAGGGAACAAATGGTGTATGAACCGATTGTTGGTCACCGGCTTCCATGGGACTGCATCTCCTTACGATGCTCCACTGCCTTGTGGATCAGACCTTCAGGTCGAAGGCTAGGGGTGTGGCCCCCTAAGAAAACCACTTGCTTCGGTTTGGGCACCCGGGCAGTATCACAGCCCTCACACATATCGAATGAGATTTGTGTGGCGCATATGTATTTGGTGCCTCTTTGTACCATTATGTATGTGTTGAAATAAATAAATAAATATTCCTGGTCTCCTTAATCGTTGTTTCCGAAATGTAAATTAATTTCGAATAATTTTCTTTCACAATCAGGAACGAAAGATTACATACAGTTAGTAAGTGGCATGAAAGCACTCAAACTCATTATCACAAAACAAAAGCCTAGACAAGATATGAAAAAAGGTACATACATATACGTCCTCACCATCAACAATGATAATACATTTAGAACACTGAGTTAGAATTCCTGGCATTTTGAAGCTTCCCAACTTATTCGTTCGCAAGTGTGATTATTACTCTCCATCTGAAGGCGGCCTGCTTGAATATCTGGGCTACCTGTTCCTACCGTCTGAATATTTAGACAAGCCATCTGTTTTTATTTGTTTTAACACATCGCTATGTCTGTTAGCTGCAAAACCTATTCAGGGCGTTTATGAAAATTTCGCAACCTTATGCTGTACAGGTTATCAAAAAGTACAATCAGCGACACCGTGGTGGCTGGCAGTATGTATTGAAAATAATGAACATTATTCAGATGTCAATTCCTGGACTGCTCATATCCGACTGGGGATCACTCAATATTTATCATCAGAATCAATCATGAAATAAGAAAAGGTAACTTGTTGAAATACTTCGTGCTGAGAATAATATATTGTCCCAACAATATATTGAATAAAGCTATTAATAATAATAATAATAATAATAGTAATAATAATAATAATAATAATAATAATAATTAATATGCATGTGGAGCTAATCCGTGTCGGGTAGAGACAGGTATCTACCTCAGTACAAGATGGTCGCGCGATTTCGTGGGTTGGTTAAGGGTTAGACATTAACACCGTTGGGTGCCGAATCAGTGGTCTAGAGGTTGAGCGTCTGCGCGCGAGACTGGAGGCCCTGGGTTCGAACCCCGCGAGTGGGATCGTGGATGTGCACTGCTAAGGAGTCCCACGATAGAACGAAACGCCCGTCCAGTGCTCCCAGGTTTTCAATGCTGGTCTAAAATCAATCGATTCATGATCTCAATCAAAAACATAATAATCTCCACAACCCCATACTGATAGTATGTATAACTTTGAACAACACGACACTGAAATTTTCGCAGCTGCCATTAACTCATAATCGTTAAACAAATTACTGGCTATCTGGATTCAGTAGCTAAGTAAAAAACGAGTACAGGGTTTAAGTCACATTGTGAACATTAACACTCGTATATACGTCCACTCGTCCAATGAACGAAACGCGTACCTTGGATTTCATCCCGAGGTACAATTCAAATATACACTAGATCTTCCAAAAAAAAACATCAAATTCAAGGAACCACTGAAAATACATAAATGTCAATAAAGATCGATCAAAATTCAGTCCTGAATATCAACAATAAAATAATACAAACTCATAAATAAAAATATACAGGTTCATGTAACAGGTTACTAACTGAAATTATTATTTGAAGTTTAGGAAGTAGGGTAGGTAGAGTATTTCAATTGTGAATCAAACCCCTAAACTATTAATCACTGGACGAACACCGAGAGCTTCCTTTCTTCTAGACAAACTATCACATACCCTGGAGGTTTGAACATCCAAATCGTCTTTGATGTGAGAATCAAAGTTATTGACTGAGGTAACTGACTCAAATTTGGCACTACCTAAACCAGAATTAGTTCGAATTGTACTTCCAAATCTCCGGGAACTGGATGGTTCCCCATTTGTTATTTCAGGCTTTTTATCAACTTCTGACGATAAAAACCACTGTGACATTGATAAAACCGTTGGAGAACAAGACGGTTTATTTGTTTTTTGTCCTTTGTTCCAGTTAGGAGTGGCTTTGTCAATTAAAAATGTTAAGCGTTTCCGAAGATCCGTTGCTTCTTTCTCTAGCTTACGACGTTCGTGTAGAAATTGGATTTCATGTCGTTGGAAATTTGACTGAACTTTACGAAGCTATAAACAAAGAAGTAACAGGCAACTTACTGGAATTCAATATAATCTTAGGAATATCTAGAGGAAATCACAAAAGTATTTATATCAATCGTTGTTATCAATATATATAATCCGCCTGTAGCTTTTCTAGAGTTACTGCCGGTCCCAAGCCCGGGTAAAGAAGAGTTGGGAATGGGGTCGGCAATCTCATCCCGTAGAAAACAATTTTACTAAAAACACTAACCAGATCAAACAAATTAAGCCATTTAAACTCAAACATGGAAGTTGAAGGAAGAATTATGACGCCTTATTATGAAAGCCGAGATTTTTCGGAAGTCACGAGGCTGATGGCTCTTCTAACAACCAGAGCTACAATTTATATAGGTATGGAAAATGTGGAAGACCGGAAGGACCAGTCAAATAGCTACCGAAATGAGGCGATACAACTTGGCGGTGTTCGGAATCAGCAAAACCCATTAGACCCAAGCTGGTCAGAAAAAGATAGATGCGAGAGAGATGCTGCTATAGTCTGATCACGAAGAAGAAAATGCTTTGCACGCACGAGTTGCACTGATGCTATTAAAAGCAAGAAAAGCACTTTTTAGGCGAGAATTTCGTGAATTCAGTGTTATACACACCGATTATAGTAACGACGACGATAAAGATCAGTTCTATGAGAGGCTGCAACCAATCATAGCGAAGTGCTCAGGACAGGGAGAGAGAAACGAGAATGGCGAGGAATTCGCCAATTTATGGACATTCAACAAAATGGTTGTAGGTGGCACAATATTCCCCCACAAACACATACACGAAGCTACATGGGTTCCTCCGGATCATCTAACGGAGAACCAAATAGATCACATTTGCATCAACCAAAAATTCAGAAGGACAATAGAAGATGTGAGAATCAGGAGAGCAGCTGACATAGCCTCAGATCACCACCTGGTGGTTGCCAAGATGAAAATGAAGCTAAAGAAGCAATGGACAACTGGACAAACAGCAGTACAAAGACTCAATACAGCTTTCCTTCGATATGCTGACAAACTCAATGAATTTAAGATAACTCTCTATAACAGGTTCCAAGCCTTACAAAATCTACTGAAAGAAGAAACTACTATGGAGGACAACTGGAAAAGGATCAAACAAACACTAACTTCAGTGTCAGGAGTAACAAGAAACATCATCATAAGGAATGGATCTCTGTCAAAAAACCCTGCACAAGATTCGAGATAGGAAGAACAAGAGGATAGTGATTAACAACAGCCGAAAAAGAGCAAAGAAAGTCGAGACACAAACTGAATACATTGAAGCAAACAAGCAACAGCATTACAGCTGACAAGCAGAAATACATGGAAGCCTTAGCAGTGACAGTAAAAAAGCTGCAAATGAAGGAAATATGAAACAACCATATAACATAACGAAGAAATTAGCAGTGGAATATGGTAAATCAGAGACACCGTTCAAGGACAAAGAAGGTAAGTCAATCATGAGATTCAAGAACAAAGAAACAAATGGGCAGAATACTTTGAGGAACTCGTAAATGGACCAACCACACTGAATCCACCAGACATAGAAGCAGCACCTGCAGACCTTCAGGATGGCCATGCGACAAATCAAGAGCTGGCAAGAAGACGTGGAAGTAACTGCAAACATGATTCACGTTCAGGGTTCAGAGAGATTGGAAAGAAGAATACCTCATCGAGATATCAAAGAAAGATCTCAGAAAACGTGAAAACTACAGAGGCATCACACTACTATCGGTACCAGCAAAAGTTTTCAACAGAGTTGTTGAACCGGATGACGGATTCAGTAGATGCCCAACCTCGAGATCAACAGACCGGATGCTGTAAGGATAAGTCATACACAGACCAAATTGCGACACTACGGATCATCGTTGAACAATCAATTGAATGGAACTAGTCACTATGCATCAACTTCCTTGACTAAGAGAAAGTATCTAACTGTATACATGGGAGGACCCTATAGGACCTTCTTTAACACCATGGTATACCTGAAAACATTTTCAACATCATAGGGAATTCATACGACCGACTACAGTGCGAAGTCATGAGAGCAGGACAGCAGATGCATTTCAAATGAGGACCGGAGCCAGACAAGGTTGTTGAATCTTCTCCATTCTCTTTCTTCTGGTGATTGACTGGATTATAGAGACTTCAACATCTGACGGGAAGTGTGAAATACAATGGACAGCTCAGAATCAGCTAGACCACTTGAACTACGCAGACGACCTGGCTTTTCTATCTCATACACACGAAGAATTGCAGGTAAAGACAACTAGTGTAACAGCAGCCACTACATCTGTAGACCTCAACAGACACAAGGGAAAAAGCAAGATACTAAAATGAAACAGAGAAAACCAGCCCAATAACACTTGATGGAGACGCTCTGAAAGATGTGGATACTTCCACATATCTGTGAAGCATCATCAATCAACAAGGAGGATCAGATGCAGACGTAAAGACGAGGATTTTCAAAGCAACAACCGCATTCCTACGACTGAAGAACATATAGAACTCAAAACAACCGTCAAGACAGTTCTACTGTACGGAGCTGAAACTTGGAGAACTAATACAACCATCATCAAGAAGGTACAATTATTTACAAATAGTTGTCTACGCAAGATACTCAACATCCATTGGTCAGATACCATCAGCAACAGCCTACAGTGGGAGAGAACAAATAAGCTTCCAGCTGAAGAGGAAGTTAGGAAAAGACGATGGAAATGGATAGGACATACATTGGAGAAATCATCACACTGCATCACAAGGCAAGTGCCTAATTCGAATCCTGAAGGGGAGCGGAAAAGAAGAAAGCCAGAGAACACACTGTGGTGAGAATTGGAGGCAGACATGAAAAGGGTGGATAGCAACTGTAAACAACTGGGAAGGATTCCCCAGGACAGAGTGGGATGGAGAATGCTGGTGGGCGGCCTATGCTTCTCCGTGAGGGGTAACAGGCGTGAGAAATATATATATATATATATATATATATATATATACAGCACTTCCGTATGCCGGAGGCGAGAGGATTATCTCTCCCTCTCGAAATGCTCTCGCACGGCCACGCGTATACAGCCACTGTCAGGGAAATCCTACTCACAGCATTCTCGCAACAGGGGTGTTGTTTACGAAATTGAGAGGACGAAAAGCGAATGTCCGTCGCTTTAACCAGGTTGGTGGATACGGAGGGTCCACCTAGGGGAGTTGGAAAACCCCGGTCCCAAACCAATGGTGCATATGAGCTCCAGGATCCTGAAGGGAAAAATGGCGTGTGAACCAATTATTGGTCATTGACTACCATGGGACTGCATCTCCTGATGTTGCTCAACTGTCTTGTGGACCAGACCTTTAGGTCGAAGGCCCCGAGTATTGGCCCCCTAGGAAGACTACCTGCTTCAGTCTGGGCGCCCGTGCAATATCACAGATCACACACAAACCAAGTGACTTGTGTAGCGCATATGGAATCGGTGCTCCTTTATATACCAATATTTATATGTTCAAATAATAATAACTTTCGTATCCTTCAATATATTATTAACCAGTCATAAATTTCGGGACTGTTTGTTACTACCAACTTACTGAAATTCCTTTAATAATAAAACCATGTTACAAGGTGGCCGATGGAGAATTTATCATTCTAATTAACGACAAATGATGGTTCTTTACTACGGATGTTCGATCATCATACTGATAAAAAAAAATCCGATTCGACGAAAATCATGCCGTACGTATACAAATTTTTTTTCTGATTCAATATTCATTACTTAAATTTCCTTTGTTTTTGTTTGAACTGTAAACTTGTCAGGTTTGCCAGACAAATATGAACAGTTAAATTTAAGCTCCTTTTGGTTATGCTTGAATCAGACTATAAAAAACATCCTGTTACTGGTTTTTCCAACTAAATAAAATTGGCTATGAAAACCATTTATCCACTAGATGACCCTGTAAGTTGATGTTTTGTTTAATTTCCTTAGGGTTCGACTCAAACAACTGAATGATTTCTTAGTTAAACACTAATAGTAAACAAAAGATTTAAAGATAAAGGATGTTTCTATTACTGAACAAAGCGGAAATAGTTAGTGAAAAATATGAAGTCCTAGTGCACTTAGTGGTACAACAGCATACTTAGTTACGAGCTAAACTTCATGTGCGAAAGCTAGCAACACTAATCTGTTCCCAAGTAACAAGAGTAGCCGCAGAGAAGTAGCTATTTCTAGACAATTTAAATTGAAAATCACCAAACAAAGATTATGTTTAAACTACAAATACATCCAATGTCATGATATTCATTCAGAACAATTTAAAAATGTAACTACAAGAGAGAATTTTCATCCACAAAAACTTACTTCATTACATGTAGATTTCAAACGATCATTAAGTAACTTTTTATCATTTAAAGCTTGTTTTTCCCTTTCTTTGATTAATTCATTTGATCTTTGTGTTTCTTCCAAATTTTGCTGACATCTTCGATAAAGTTTTTGTACTTGAGTTAAATCTGACTGTACACGATGAAAACTAATTACAAAACAAAAAACAGAACGAAAAAAAGTATGTAAATACAAAATTGGTGCCTTGATTATAAATAATTAATTATATTTTTACCCATAAAATCAATGAATGTCATTTGCAGATAACCAGATGTCTATTTTCTTTAATCAAAAGGCGAGTATACAGTAAAGTAGTCTGCTTTGTATTATTCTATGATAGGGATAAATAGCCAATGATAGTAGAAGACATGAATTTGTTAGCATTCTATAATAAATGTTATAGAAACATTGCTTGTGCATGGTAGAGCTACAGTGTAAGGCTGATACTAGAGGTACGGTACTGATATGTGTCACACACGCTCTATCACAGACTATTCTGGGGTCTGATGCTGAATAGCTGTTATAACTGTGAAAATATGCTTCTGATTAGAGGGGTAGCGAATTATTGATCGGACCAAAGACGCGCAAACACACAGAACGACCTAGGGTTCTGATTGGCCCCGCTTCCCTGTCTAGTCCAACCAGTTAAGTCCAGGATGCAAGTCTCAGCCTCGGATATATGAATCATTATATTTCAAACATACTTTGTTTATATACCAGTCAAGCAGACCATAACGTACCATAAAATAGATAACATTGTACAATAATGGTCAGTAGGAAAATGACACGTTAAACAAATATTAACCAATAAGATGATACCATTTCATGTCCAAGGATAGCATTAGGCTTAACAGGATAATTTTTGGGATATTTTCCTGAATATCCCAACAATAGCATAATAGCAGATTTGAAAAAAACTAATGGGTTGTATACCAAGTCATAAAATCAATGTATAAAATAACTAATTATGGATCTGAAACGCGTTGGGAGGCGATAAACTTTGTTTTTGGAAGCCATCAACTGACTGCGATCGATAGATCTTCAATGACGTCTTAACATTGATCACAGAAATGAATCCATTTTTTATCTCCCTTTAAAAGTGTTAACACCGCTCATGTTTTTCACTAACTGGTTTCATTTATTCTCTGCTTGGTCTCCACTGTTAATGACATTATTATTTCGACTTACTTGCTTGTCATCTTGTTGATTTCTTAGTGTTATGTTGATAGAAAGTGTGAAAAAAGTCCAGTTTACATTTAGATTAGGTAGTACCACTAATACAATTTTTATAACTGTGATTCACTTTTAGAAATAAATACAGGATCATTTGAAAATATCATAACATACAAAGATATTGAATACTTAACAATACATATGTTATGACGTACAAAAAGCATAACCTAAAGTAAATATAATTTTTAAACGCAGGCTTATTTAATTCACTATAACAAAGCGAATCTTAAGTTTTAAGGTAAAAAAAAATTATGCAGATGAGTTAATTAATGACTTCATAACAGTAACTAGCTTTATTCCGCTTATCTATTAATGTTTAGTGTTTTAGGTACTTTATTTACTAAGTTTTTTATAACTGAGATGATAAATAAATACAGCGCACATGTATTTGCTTTCGTTTTACCAGACCTCAACCTTGTAAACGGAATTGTGATAAATTATCCATACAATCCACTGTGAGATACATAACTCTACCATAGTAATCTGAAATTGATAATATGCATTTTACTATTGGTGAATTACTAAGAATAGCAACTTCATGTCAACTGAATAACTTGTTGAAGCTGAATGAACTTTCCTCAATTACTCGATGACGAAAAACGTTGGTACGTGGTTTGTTTCACGCTTCCAAAGAATGCCTCAACTGAATCAATTACTTTACAGGAACAGGTGAAGTCACATGAATTAACTGTTTGAGACACTAAAAAATCTATAGGTTTGTAGTTGACATTAAGACAATAATATGCCGCAGTCAAATAGTTTAACCTTAACTGTTACATCATCATCCTTAGACACCCAAAACTCGAAGATACTAAAGCAGAATCTCCAAGTGACATGAATGAAGATGGCGAACGTACGTCTGATTATATAAAAGTTCATGAAATGACTCATTTTCATTTATTTCTAAAACAAAACATTTGGTACAATAGGGTACTGAAACATATGTAGTGAATGAAAATTTAACGTATTAGATAAAGTGATGAGACCATGTTATTGCTTGGATAAAAAACGAGAAAATATCATAATTACATGATGAAGAATTATGCATAAGATAATCTTTACTCCACACCAAGCCCCCAAATTCCCTGGTATGGCCGAGAGTGGGGAGAGTCCGCTCTCCCTCTCGAAATACTCTCACACGGCCACGCGTATACAGCCTCTGCCAGAGAAGTCCTACTCACTGCCTTCTCGTGGCGGGGGTGTTGTTGACGAAAATGAGAGGATGAAAAGCGAATGTTCGGCGCTTTAACCGGATCCCAAACCAATGGTGCACAGGGGCTCCAGTATCCTGCGGGAACAAATGGTGTATGAACCAATCGTTGGTCACCGGCTAGCATGGGACTGCATCTCCTTACGATGCTCCACTGCCTTGTGGGTTAGACCTTCATGTCAAAGGCTCGGGGTGTGGCCCCCTAAGATAACCACCTGCTTCGGTTTGGGCACCCGGGCAGTATCACAGCCCACACACAAATATGATGAACTGCCTATAATTATGGAAACTACTTTACTTGCTTCTACTAACAATCAAATGATTCAAATGATTATTATCACCATTATTATTATTACTATTATTATTATTATTATTATTATTATTATTATTATTATTATTATTATTATTATTATTATTTACCACATTATTCACCCTCTTTTATACTTATACAGCGGCTCGTCTTTGGTGGAAATTCGACTGTATCTAAACGTTCTCGAGTCAGTGTCCGGTTGAAAATTATATGTTACAACCGAATATGAGTACTGAAGCAGTTTTTCTGAAACCACGTGCAACATTCAAACTGGCTGCCTTCAGCGTTCGCACGCTTATGCAGGTCAGACAACAGATAGGGCTGGCTAAGTCTTTGGAAAGTCTTAATATCGACGTTTGATGTCTATCCGAGACCCGTATTCAAGACTGGTGAAAAACTACAGATTTGCTCTCCATCTGTCGCTTCAAAAAGCTTGTTTTAGGTGCGTATATCCGGGGACCCTGTGGCATCTTCGTCTGGCCTTGCTGGCGTTGGTGTTACACTAAGCGCTAGAGCTGAGGCAGCACTAATCGATTGGATCCCCATTAACAGTCGGTTATGTGCTGTTAGAGCAGAGAGTTCCATCAAATTGAGAAGAAATTGGAGTGAGAAATGATGTCTTTTCGTCATCTCCGCCTATGACCCGACAGATTGCAGCCCGGATGCAATCAAGGATGAGTTTTACCACCAGTTATCTGTCCTTCTCCAGAAAGTGCGTTCAATAGATATTGTAGTACTAGCCGGAGACTTGAATGCTCAGGTCGGGCGTCTAGGCACAGAAGAGAGTCGTTTAGGTGGCCGATGGGGACTCGTTGGTCGCAGGTCAGATAACGGGGACCGTCTACTGCCACTGTGCACAGACCACAACCTGTTTCTGACTAGCACTAACTTCCGGCACAGTCACCGCCGATGTGCCACCTGGCGTCCTCCCTCTGCGTCCCAAGCCTGGACTCATATTGATCACATCGCGATCAGCTACCGCTGGCGTGGTTGTGTACAAGACTGCCGCTCCTTTTGGAGTACCTATCTGAACTTTGACCATGCCTTGGTCTGCGCCAATCTTACCTTACTTTTCAGTGGACAACGAAGTGACCGCCACCAACGGATTGATGTTAGCAAGCTGGTTGCAACTTCTGTTGCTAGTAAGTATCGAACAGAGCTAGTTTCTAGGCCGGCTACCATTCCACCGAAAAGTATAGATGAGCATTGGTTGCAATTGCATGACGCCATGAAAATGGCGGGTACAGTCAGTTGTGGGTTCGCGAAACGTCCCGCTTATAAGCACTGGGTTTCTTCAGGTTCCTTACAACTCATTGAAGCCCGTCGGTCTACTCCGGGTGACCGTGAGTTTGAACATAAACGAAGGATGTTACGTAAGGAAATTGGGCAAAGCTTGCGTAAGGACCGAGAAGCCTGGTAGTCGAAGCGTGCTAATGAGCTGAAAGCAGCAGCTGCATCTGGTAACTACCGGCAGCTCTTCCAACTCATCCGAGTCACTGGCAGCAAGAAGTCCGGTGTGAGTGAAACAATCTGCGAGGATGATGGGATGCCAATCACTAACATCCATCGACGTCTTGGACGATGGGCAGAATTTTTCGAAGGGCAGTTCAACTGGCCTGCTGCTCCGGCAACATCGGTCAGACTGTCCTGCCCTCCATGGCCGGTGACGACTGATCCACCAAACGAGGAGGAAGTCCGCAAGGAACTCCAACTCTTGAAGCGTTACAAATCACCTGGCCCAGATGACTTACCTCCGGCTCTTTTTAAAGATCGTCGTGACTTTCTGACTAAGGAATGGACGACGTTGTTTACAAAGGTCTGGGAACTAGAGAGTGTACCAACGTCATGGAATGAGTCGATAGTTGTCCCTATCTTTAAAAAGGGTTCACGTCGTTCCTATAACAACTATCGAGGGATAAGTCTACTTCCGATTGCGTCCAAACTTTTGGCTTCCGTCATGCTGCGTAGACTGTTCAAAACCCGAGAAAGATTGACTCGCGAGGAGCAGGCTGGGTTTCGTTCTGGTCGAGGATGTATTGATCATATCTTCACCCTCCGCCAAATGTTAGAACACCGCCATACTTATCAAAGGCCAACAATCGTAGTGTTGCTTGACATCAGGGCTGCCTTCGATTCGTTGGATAGGACTGTTCTCTGGGATTGTCTATTGAAGAAGGGTGTGCCTGAGAAGTTTATTAACATCCTAAAAGCCCTATATACAAATACCTCAGGCAGAGTGAGGGCATACAACCACCTCTCTCCATTGTTCCATTCGAGCAGTGGGGTTAGGCAGGGTTGCCCAATCTCACCATTCCTCTTCAACTTTGCCATCGATGACATTCTGGAAACAGCTCTGATAAATGTCAGTCAGTCAGTCAGTATCAACGTAGAACTTCGTACGTACGTACATCAGTTCGAGTTGCCACACCACATTAGCACAGAGATGCAGTTGTCCATTCAAATCCCATAGTGGTAGAGGTAGCAAGAGTATAAGCAGTAATCGGGAAGATTAGGGTTTGGAGATGTTATTTATAGAGTATAATCCAGTGAAATAAATTTGGAAAGAGGAAAAAAGGGACATGAAGAATTCAGAAGATTAGAATTTGAGAGAACACAGAGAGTGGATGCACCTGCGCCATTGCAAACGATTTTGAGCCATGTCATTCAGGGTCTCTAACCATCGGTTGCTATCATCTCGCGGTCCCCAACCAGGTAGTCTACACCTACCAACATGACTCAGTTCACTTGTCAGTGACTTCATGGACTTGTGCCATGTTTTGGTTTGGCCGCCCCTAGCTTTCTTCCAACCTACTCCTATACCACTGAACATAGCACGTCGAGGCAGTCGGTCGTTGGGCATACGTAACACGTGTCCCAGCCATCTCAACTGATGAAGTTTCACTACGTCATCAATTGATTTGCCATCCTTACCTAGTACCCGTTTTCTAACAACTGTGTTACTTAATCGATGGTCCCATGATATACGAGCAATGTTTCGAAGACACCTATGATCAAATACTAGTAGCCTACGGATATCCTCTACTCTTACCGGCCATGTTTCACTGCCATAAAGTAGGACGGAACGAACTGCTGCACAGTAAACACGTCCTTTGGTTGATAGACGGATATCTCGCCTACGCCATAAATGACGCAAGTTGGCAAAAGCTAGTCGAGCCTTCTGTATCCGTGCTGAGATTTCGTCACACACCAGACCACAAGGGCTGATCAGACTTCCAAGATAAGTGAAGCGGTCGACACACTCAACTACTTCACTCCCTATCACTAGTTCGGGTGTCGATGTAACCCAATCCTGAAGCAACATTTTGCATTTCGAGGGAGAGAATCTCATCCCGAACATGCTTGCATTGTTGCTTAGAGTGGTCAGAAGACGCTGACAAAATGCAGAGTCTTCTGACCACTCTAATAAATGTAAGTAATGGTGGTGTGGATCTGTTGCCTGGAGAAAGACTCCTCGACCTTGAGTATGCGGACGATATTGTCTTACTGTGCGATAATGCCCAAGGCATGCAATCCGCACTTAATCAGTTGGCAATCAGTATCCATAGGTATGGTATGTGCTTTGCACCTTCGAAGTGCAAAGTACTTCTACAAGACTGGCAGGATTTCAATCCTGTACTCACCCTGGATGGTGAGCAGATAGAAGTAGTCGAGAAGTTCGTGTATCTAGGTAGCTGCATAAGTGCTGGTGGTGGCGTAAGTGATGAGATCAATGCACGTATAGTGAAAGCCAGAGACGCTTATGCCAATCCGGGCCATTTTTCGAGCCTTCGTGATGTTAGTCTGGCTGTAAAAGGTCGGATCTACAACGCGTCGGTGAGAGCAGTTTTGCTCTATGCTCGTGAAACCTGGTCTCTCCGAGTTGAGGACGTTAGACGACTCTGTGTTCGATCATCGCTGTCTCCGAAGGATTGCTGACATTCAGTGGCGACACCATGTCAGTAATGCAGAGGTTCAGCATCGTGTGTTCGGGTACAGAGATGATAATGCAATCGATGTCACCATCTTGAAACACCGACTTCGGTGGCTTGGACATGTTCTACGAATGTCGTCCCAGAGAATTCCACGTCGTGCATTATTTGCCGACTCTGGGACTGGTTGGAAGAAGCGGAGAGGTGGTCAGTGCATGACATGGTGTTGTGGCATGAAAGAAAGCTGCAAAGGGCTGGCTTCTGTTGGTCCTTTACGACTCCCTGGTTGGGGTCTGAGAGATGGTGCTACACAGTGGCTAGAGACGTTATGAGATATGGCTCAGATTAGAAGCCAGAGGCGATCCTGCTGTAACCTTCTTTTACTTTCTTCATAAAAAGTGGTTGTGTCTCCCTTACCTGAAAGATTTCTTCTGATTGTACCTTTCCGTTCCCTCATTTCTACCATACTACCTTACACCAATCTCTTCGTTACTGTTCTCTTTTTTCGCGCTCCTTAGCTTTTTTTTCTATTTCTCTTCGAATTCTCATTGTTTTGTGTGGCGCATATACATTGGCGCTCTCTTGTACCAATATTCATGTGTTCAAATAAATAAATAATACTCCACACCATTTATTACTAGACTCCTATTAAAAGATTACGCTGTTACATGGAGCCATGAAAGACGTTAGTCGTGTTAATGATGTATTATGAAAATAGTTATCGATAGTCATTTGAAATCTTTCAAACAGCAAGAAATTGAGCGAAAGAAGCTTCCCTACTCTTCAACTGGTTTCACCATACAACGCCAGGTGTTTTCTATACCATTCAAAGGTCAGTCAGTCAGCAACAACGTGGAACTTCATACGTACGTATATCAGTTCAAGTTGCCATACCACATGAGCACACAGATACAATTCTCGATTCAAATCGCATAGTGGTAAAGGTAGTAAAAGCATAAGCAATAATCGGAAAGATTAGGGTTTGAAGATGTTATAATCTAGTGAAATAAATCTGGGGAGAGAAAAAAAAAGAGACAAGGAGGAATAAGGAGATCAAAATTTGGAAGAACACAAAGAGTGTATGCACCTGCGCCATTGCAAACGATTTTGAGTCATGTCATTCAAGGTCTCTAATAATCAGTTGCTATCGTCTTGCGGATCCCAACCAGGTAGTCTACACCTGGTTTAGTCCACTTGTCAGTGACTTCATGGATTTGTGCCATGTTTTGGTCTGGCCGCCCCTAGCTTTCTTCCAATCTACTCCTACACCATAAAACATAGCATGTCGGGGGCAGTCTGTGGTTATGCATACGTAACACGTGTCTCAACTGATGAAGTTTCACCACTTCATCAATCGATTTTCCATCCTTACCTAGTACCCGTTTCCTAACAACCGCGTTACTTACTCCATGGTCCCAGGATATACGAGCAATGTTTCGAAGGCACCTATGATCAAATACTAGTAACCTACGAATATCCTCTACCCTTACCGGCCATGTTCCACAGCCATAAAGTAGGACAGAACGAAATGCTGCTCAATAAACCCGTCCTTTATTTGGTAGACGGATATCTGAAAGGAAATAAAGTCTTTACAAGTCCAATTGCCAGACATCTCGATAGTGGATATGAAGTGAATGTAAATGATGCACTCAAAATAATCAACACACGAAAAGCATCAGTCTTATTCAGTTTTTCAGACACAATCGCTATCCAACGTTCCCGACCTGACCTAGGTATAGAGAAGGAAAGTTTAACTAGCCATTTCCTGCCATGGTGGTTGGATATTTGTCCAATAACCTGTTAATTTTAACCTTTTTTTCAATCTTGTCCCCAACCTTTTTATCGTCTTGTTATTCTTGCGTCTTTTTGATATTCATCTCTTACACAATCTGGTTGGTGTTCACATATTTATTTTATCATGTTGAGTGATTACCTAATCACCCATTAATTTCATCGCCTTTACATAATTATTACTTCTCAACATATAAATACACATCAATCTTAACTAGGTTTATCCATACACTTTGTAACCTTATTCTTCTGATTATGATTTTCATTACGTTTTGAGTAATTATCTAAATTTCATAAACTAAAGTATGCTAAACATTTATTAATTGTATTTAGATTAGTTATTGTAATTTCAAGTTGCATGCAGCCGATGAGAAATGAAATATAATGAACTCATTTTATTTAACAAACCTTCTTCTTGCTGTTTACATTTATCAAGGGATATGGTTGTATGAAATTTTTGAAAAAACGTCTCATACCTAAATATTTACCTAATGTTGAAAACTAACTACATAACAAGAATAAAATTCGACTCACTTTAATTCAATTTCTTCACGACTATTTAAACTTTTACGATAGGATGTAATCAACTTTAACACACCATCAATAAAACTATTCATAGTGATTTGAATTTCTCCATTTTCCACCCTTAAAACTTTTGAATAGCCCATTATCTCGAATTCCTAGATAAAATACGTTTAAAAAATAAATAAATAAAATAAACGACGAACTAGTAAACTTAAAAGAAAATGTTTATGTGAAGTAATCAAAAGATGGTTGACATAACGAAAGGTAATATAAGATATAATTTATTGGGGAATTAATTCCCTTAAAAAGATAGTTAAAAAATCAAATATTCGCAATATTTAAATTTACAATTAACCTTGCTAAAAAGCTTGGTGCAACTAACAAGCTAATTGATTTTATTTGACCTAACTCATTTCACGAAGTACACGTTTGTGTTTGGCTTCAAGACCACACTCAAATTTTGAGGGCTAGTGAAACTACCATAATGCCTAAATCGAAGTAGATGGAGTGTGATTTGAAAATGTGACTCAACTATTGAATTATAGGTATTTTAGCCGACAATTTATTCATAACTAAGAAGTATTTCCAAACAAAAAAAGTACATAGAAGTAAGATTTTAAAATAGGATTTCAGCCTTGTTAAAAAGCACAAAAACCAAACGAATAGTTCCCTAAGCAGCAACTATGTAGTGGGAAAGCTGTGATGTTAAAAATTTAGGCATATGATTCACAGCTTGTGATACAAGAACATTTAATAACTTGGATCACTCATAAACTAAAATATACAATACAAAAAAGTATTACAAGCGCATCCTCATAAAGACAACCTTAAGTTATCCAGGAACAACTTATCAGTTACTACTGCCAAAATCATGTAGAAAGAAACTATACATACTAGGATGAAACGGCCATCCAGTACTTTCAGGTTTTCGATGGTGGTCTAACATTGATCGGTTCGTGATTTCAATATACACTTTAGATTTTGCTTAGAATATTTCTCAGTAATTTATTGCTTTTATTTCCTATATTTTATCGTAATGTTTATTCGTAGTGTAGTACACTGTTCAACTAGTAAGCTCAGCCAGTCATATGCAACGTAAGACCTCATACATATGTACATTGGTTCAAGTTGCCATACCATATTAATACAGTGAGATAAAATTATCTCAAGACAGAATCCAAAGAAGTAGAGGTAGTAACAGTGTCAGTGGTAGTATAAGGCCAGGGATAGAGAGATTTCAGAACCCAGGTTTTAAGGGGAGACAAAAAGTTCATGGACAAGAGCTATGGCAAACCATCCTGAGTCATGACACTCAGTCTCTAATTAACTAGTAAATTATGTTGAATCATGCATAAAAGCAACAGTTTTTATACACCAAAATACATAAAGTAACTAGATTCACTTACATTTGATATGCAAAGTAATACGCTGAAATCGCTAAGTATTAAAACATTTCAAGACACTGTTTAATGCACAGATTACCACACTAGAGTACTACTAAGAACCCCAAGTAATCTAAGAATCTCCAATATCACTAATAAATATTTATTATCACAATTTATATGCGTGAATACTACACAAAAGTTTTTGACTCAGTGGTCTAGTGGTTAGGAGCTCGCGCGCGAAACCGAAGGTCCTGGGTTCAAGTCCCGCGAGCGGAATCGTGGATACGCACTGCTGAAGAGTCCCATCATAGGACGAAACGGCAGTCCAGTGCTCCCAGGTCTTACTCTTCACCATAAGAGTAGAGGAATGTGGAAAAGATTTAGATCACTAGGTACTAATGAGACAAAATCTCAATATTCGTATATAAACTAAAGGACTAAAAGAAGAGGAAATATTCCAGCACTATAGGGAGACAGTAATGTTTCATCATTAGTGGAGGACGACTATGGTAAAGCTCAATTATCCTCAAACTACTTTAGCAATGTATATACCGCATGAACACCCTTCCCGTCAGTTCATACAAATCCCCCGCACACACTGGACAACGTGACCATTAAAGAACTCGATGTCTTTGGTTCGCTAAATAAGCTTGACATAGGCAAATCCACGGGACCCGATAAACTGCATCCTAGGTTAATAAAGGAACTAGTTAACTTCGCTGCGAACCCAGGGTCATTTACCAAGACTGGAAGAACGCCATAGTAAGTCCTGTCTTCAAAACAGGTACGAAACATAAACCTGAGAACTACCAACCCGTTAGCCTAACTAGCGTGGTTGTTAAAATTTTAGAAAAGATTATTCGGTAGGAGCTGTTTAAGTATTTCGGTGAAAACCGGATCCGTTCGGAAAAGCAGCATGGTTTTAGAATATGTTATTCTTGTCTCACTAACTTAGTGGCTCGTGAAAGCTGGTCAGCTCTTAAAGACCAAAATCTACCTATAGACGTAGCTTACATCGACTTCAGTAAAAATTTTGACAAAGTTCCCCACAACCGGCTGTTATATACGTTAAGAAATGTCGGAATTGCGGGCAATCTATTAATGTGGATAAAAGACTTCCTAGTTGTGCGACAACAAAAAGTATGGGTGGACTCCAAGTTGTCTGTCTGGGAGAATGTGCTTAACGGAGTACCTCAGAATACAGTTTTGGGATCAGTGTTATTCGTCTTGTATGTAAATGATCTTTCACATCTATCATCATCGGTTTTGCTATATACTGTCAAGATATGGAGAGCGATAAAAAGTAAAGGTGATAGCTTAGAGCTTCAAAATAACCTGGAGAAATTATCTGAATGGTCTCAAATTTGGCAGTTGCCGATATATATTTTCAAGTATTGTAATGCATATTGGTCATCAAGGTATAGATGCATACATGATGAATAACATTGAGCTACCTATTGTCACCTACCAATTGACACACAATGACTTAGTAGTCATCGTTAGCAAGACTTAAAAACTACTGCACACTGCCATGGAACAGCCACCAAAGGTTTTAGAACCCTATGGTCAATACGTAGGGCCTTTAGTCATGTCGAAGCTAAAACGTTTCTGACTTTGTATACAGTATTTATGCGTCCTGAACTTGAGTACTACATACAAGCGACTAGCCTCTGCTTAAAAAGACAGTGAGGTTTTGGAAAAGGTTCAGAGAACAGCAACTAAGCTGATTCCCGGAATAGCGAAGCTCCCACAACATGTTCGACTGGTTAAACTTAACCTATTCCCATTGTCATATCGAAGAACTAGAGGTGACTTGATTACGATTTTCAAATTAATTAGTGGTAAATTCGCATCTGATATGTCCAAATTTTTTGGTCTTCCAAAACAGAGAATCTACGAGGACACTCCATAAAGGTTTACAAGCCCAGAACAAATTACTTTTCGGTTGACTATAGACTTTCCCATCGAGTCATTAAGGAGTGGAATTCATTATTTCAACACGTGGTTAAAGCTCCATCTGTCGACTCTTTCATAAGAAAGTTGGATCGACTGAGATCATTATTGACAGGACTAACACAGGCCATCTAGCCTCCTGTCCTTTCCAAACTGAAACTGAAACTTGTATCGATAAAGAAAATTTTTAAAAAGACATTAACCATAGCCAACTCTCACCTAAATACCATGCATAAACATTTCTTAGAAAATGTATGGAAAAATTATACGTACAGAATTTATCAGTCGGATAGAAGAATCTAGCTGGCTCTGCGGGACGACTACGAAATTTTCAGAGTGTGATGTAGAGGGATCTTGTGAAGACGGTTTATCAAAGACTGGTTGAATATTCCAAATAGCATTGTTGAAATAATCTATTGACGGAATGTGCGACATTTTACGTTTAAAAATGTTCTCTTTGTTACGATTTTAAATGAAAACCATGGATTAACAGTTAATCTTAATAAAGAGGGAAAGGAAAAATGTAAAAATTTACAAGTTGATTACACAATGGAAATATGAAAAGTGATGCTGAACTAAAACACCATGAACAATCGGAAAACACGTATAATTGGCTGATCAGAGTAGTGACAAATATCATAAATGTGAAGACCTCGATATGACATCGTCAAGATCACAGGTAAATCTCGGTGACGAGTGCTAAGTAGACAGGAACCTATGTCAAACAGGGTTCCCCCTACCGACAACTTCTGATACCTTAAATGAACAATGATCAAAACCCAATTGATTGTAGTTTAACGACTCCTTGAATGCTACATTACTAAGAAAGTAGTTGTCAACCACATGGAATATGGTGCCACGTTGAATTAGGATAATTAGCGAATGAGTAATATATATAGCAATTTTTAGACACATCTGAAGCTAAACCGGCCTTACTTTTTTATAACTGTGGTCGGGAGTTCGCAGCTATCAACCGCTACTGAGAAGCTGAAACCAACGAAGCTTAAGTATGCTTCATCTAATAATAATGATGAATTATCCCAGTAGCATTAAACCGTCACATAGTTTATATTTTAGAGATAACATATTACAGACTATCCCTAATAAATAAATAATAGTATTCAAAAGTTGGTCGAGCATCAAATTAAAAAAGCAGTAATGTAACAACTTAATAACACAACAGCATTGTTTATTCATCTAAACACATAAACACTGGTATAAGGGAGCACCAAATATATATGCGCCACACTTCATCATTCGATTTGTGTGAAGGTTGGAATACTGCTCGGGTGCCCAAACCGAAGCAGGACAGTAGCATTGACAGTATGAGACTCACCCACCTAAATCATGCTCTCCAGTATAGTCTCCCAAAAGACAACAGTGATTTCACGGACGGTTACTGAGAACATCGGCTGGACTCCCGTCAACCGAGTGTAAAAAAGTTAAAGATTAGCGCTGAGAAGGTACAAAGGCCCAGGTATCGAAAGAAACCAGCCAGCCAATCTACATCTAATTAGTCGATTGGCTGACAAGGGCCGTGGAATTTCAGGCCATAGTCGTGGCCAAATCAAGAATTCTCTGAACCTAAAGTAGATAATATCCTTGGAAACAGGCCTAGGACTGTGTGAACTCCCTTATCATTATGAAATCAAAATACCGTCCAAATTTTTCATCCAGTCTTTAAGATAAAATTGACAGGATGTTGTTAAATGAAATGGACCAGGGGCTTAAACGTACAGGAAATAAACCTCTTAAAGGCTACACGACTTACATGAAGCAAGAATTCCAAACACGTGAACCAACCAAGGCTCCGTATAACGTTTACCAGTGCCGATGATATGGGGGACGTTTTATTACCCAGTCATTCGCTCAAGTTCAAGTGACGTGAGAATACTGCCGGACAAACCGTGGAGCATAACTGCTTAACGAGCTCAAGAAAATCCAGACCACGATGACACAGCTAATGATGTCAAAGAAAGTCTAAGGAACTTGAGGCTATACAGTCGCAATATATTACAACTCAACACGTGGGGATGCTAGATCTCGATTTATGGGGGTGACCTTCCCATTATTCCACAGTGACCACAACTACCAGTGAATTTTACACCAGCAGACACTGGATACCAGCTACAATTCACATGCATCCTGATACACCACACTACATTGTGATTAAGTGCGAGAATACATTTGAGCATACTGTTGCACTTGGTGACTAACAAGAACACAAATACGTAGGAAGGACAGGGATTGCCCAGTCATATAGATTTCAGATTCAGATTTGTGTAGTAAGGACAGAAGGCCTACGACCTATGTTATTCCTTTTCTAGTATGCTTCTGTGAATGTCCAGTCTTCTCTTAAAAGAGTCAATTGAAGGTGCGGACACCACTGCTTCAGGCAACAGGTTCCAAGTATTGATGACTCGGTGTGAAAACCTGTATGCCACGGGTATTTTGTTCGCTCTTGGCTTTTCTACTCGCCTGCTATGTCCTCTGAGGTGTCCCGATCTAGTAGGAAGAAAGAGAGAGAATAAGTTAGGTCCGAAATCATTTCTCAGTATTCTGTACATCAAAATTAGATCTCCCCTTAGTCTGCGATAGGACAGAGTAAAGAGGTTCAGTTTTTCAAGCCACTCTTTATATGATAAACCCCGGAGTTCCGGAATTGCACGCATAGCTGCCCTCTGTACTTTTTCTAGTATGTCTGAGTCACCTTTGAAACAGGGGCTTGCAGCCTGAACGCAGTTCTCTAACTTAGTTCTCACTAAGAATGTGTATACTGTGGTGAACATGGTAGTATCTAACTTAGTGAATGTCCTTTTTAAAGCTCAGAGGGTTCGAAACCCCTTAACTGCGACCTCCCGGCAATGGGCCGTCGTCTTAAGATCATTATTCACTATCACCAACAGGATCCTCATGAGACCGGACTACGGGTAATGACACATCCCCTATGTTGTACGTATTAACCCCCAAGTGCATGTAGACACAATTTTCCGAGTTGATAGGCATCAGCCACTCTTTAGACCAGTTTATCATATAATTTAAGTCTGCCTGAAGAGTAAATGCGTCTCTGTCTCAAGTTACTACTCGCCAAATTTTTACATCGAAACGTCCCGCTTATAAGCACTGGGTTTCTTCAGGTTCCTTACAACTCATTGAAGCCCGTCGAACTACTCCGGGTGACCGTGAGTTTGAACATAAACGAAGGATGTTACGTAAGGAAATTGGGCAAAGCTTGCGTAAGGACCGAGAAGCCTGGTAGTCGAAGCGTGCTAATGAGCTGAAAGCAGCAGCTGCATCTGGTAACTACCGGCAGCTCTTCCAACTCATCCGAGTCACTGGCAGCAAGAAGTCCGGTGTGAGTGAAACAATCTGCGAGGATGATGGGATGCCAATCACTAACATCCATCGACGTCTTGGACGATGGGCAGAATTTTTCGAAGGGCAGTTCAACTGGCCTGCTGCTCCGGCAACATCGGTCAGACTGTCCTGCCCTCCATGGCCGGTGACGACTGATCCACCAAACGAGGAGGAAGTCCGCAAGGAACTCCAACTCTTGAAGCGTTACAAATCACCTGGCCCAGATGACTTACCTCCGGCTCTTTTTAAAGATCGTCGTGACTTTCTGACTAAGGAATGGACGACGTTGTTTACAAAGGTCTGGGAACTAGAGAGTGTACCAACGTCATGGAATGAGTCGATAGTTGTCCCTATCTTTAAAAAGGGTTCACGTCGTTCCTATAACAACTATCGAGGGATAAGTCTACTTCCGATTGCGTCCAAACTTTTGGCTTCCGTCATGCTGCGTAGACTGTTCAAAACCCGAGAAAGATTGACTCGCGAGGAGCAGGCTGGGTTTCGTTCTGGTCGAGGATGTATTGATCATATCTTCACCCTCCGCCAAATGTTAGAACACCGCCATACTTATCAAAGGCCAACAATCGTAGTGTTGCTTGACATCAGGGCTGCCTTCGATTCGTTGGATAGGACTGTTCTCTGGGATTGTCTATTGAAGAAGGGTGTGCCTGAGAAGTTTATTAACATCCTAAAAGCCCTATATACAAATACCTCAGGCAGAGTGAGGGCATACAACCACCTCTCTCCATTGTTCCATTCGAGCAGTGGGGTTAGGCAGGGTTGCCCAATCTCACCATTCCTCTTCAACTTTGCCATCGATGACATTCTGGAAACAGCTCTGATAAATGTAAGTAATGGTGGTGTGGATCTGTTGCCTGGAGAAAGACTCCTCGACCTTGAGTATGCGGACGATATTGTCTTACTGTGCGATAATGCCCAAGGCATGCAATCCGCACTTAATCAGTTGGCAATCAGTATCCATAGGTATGGTATGTGCTTTGCACCTTCGAAGTGCAAAGTACTTCTACAAGACTGGCAGGATTTCAATCCTGTACTCACCCTGGATGGTGAGCAGATAGAAGTAGTCGAGAAGTTCGTGTATCTAGGTAGCTGCATAAGTGCTGGTGGTGGCGTAAGTGATGAGATCAATGCACGTATAGTGAAAGCCAGAGACGCTTATGCCAATCCGGGCCATTTTTCGAGCCTTCGTGATGTTAGTCTGGCTGTAAAAGGTCGGATCTACAACGCGTCGGTGAGAGCAGTTTTGCTCTATGCTCGTGAAACCTGGTCTCTCCGAGTTGAGGACGTTAGACGACTCTGTGTTCGATCATCGCTGTCTCCGAAGGATTGCTGACATTCAGTGGCGACACCATGTCAGTAATGCAGAGGTTCAGCATCGTGTGTTCGGGTACAGAGATGATAATGCAATCGATGTCACCATCTTGAAACACCGACTTCGGTGGCTTGGACATGTTCTACGAATGTCGTCCCAGAGAATTCCACGTCGTGCATTATTTGCCGACTCTGGGACTGGTTGGAAGAAGCGGAGAGGTGGTCAGTGCATGACATGGTGTTGTGGCATGAAAGAAAGCTGCAAAGGGCTGGCTTCTGTTGGTCCTTTACGACTCCCTGGTTGGGGTCTGAGAGATGGTGCTACACAGTGGCTAGAGACGTTATGAGATATGGCTCAGATTAGAAGCCAGAGGCGATCCTGCTGTAACCTTCTTTTACTTTCTTCATAAAAAGTGGTTGTGTCTCCCTTACCTGAAAGATTTCTTCTGATTGTACCTTTCCGTTCCCTCATTTCTACCATACTACCTCACACCAATCTCTTCGTTATTGTTCTCTTTTTTCGCGCTCCTTAGCTTTTTTTTCTATTTCTCTTCGAATTCTCATTGTTTTGTGTGGCGCATATACATTGGCGCTCTCTTGTACCAATATTCATGTGTTCAAATAAATAAATAAATACTACTCGCCAAATTTTTACATCGTCAGCGTATAATAACATTGGAGACTGTACTATACTTATAAAATCATTAACGTACATTATAAAAATTAAAGGACCTAGGACGGAACCTTGG